ATCAAAACATTTTTACTAAAGATAGCTTAAGAGAGAAAATCACATAATACCCAGAAAAATGCCAGTTGTTCATCTTCGTATTCCACACAATTCCTAGCAATAGTAGGTTAGTGGGCGCTTTCAAATCATTCACTGATTTTCACATTCACAGAGAAAATGTTTTCTCCCCTGTCCATATGACTTCATTATATTTCAAAGGTGTGAGTCATCAACTCTGGCAATAAAAAGCAGAATTCACACCACTGCAATGCTTGCCATATTTCAAAAGCTCCCAGAAATGAGAAGAGATATGCATAGATGCGTTCCCTAAGTTACACAAGTACAAGAAAATACATCATTTCCCTATTGCTAACTGGCTATATTTAGATGGCTCTGAATTGAATTATTCCAGCACACACAAATACAGTCTTGAAGGGGTACACATACTTGCCCCTGAAAGTCTGGACACAAAAGCTGCTACTCAGATAAAAGCTGACAGGCAACAGGAATCTGACAGGCCAGTAATTTACTGCATTCTCTGCACATTTGAACTTGTAGGCCTCCATAGCCATTAAGCAAAATTAGTTTCATGATGTCAGCCAAAAAGCTTCATGGGCAACAGTTTTAGGTCATTAAAAGAACTACCATTCTCAAACTGTTTGAATGTGTGTTTGCTCATTAGAAGCCTCTCCGTGAACTGGGAGAGAGGTTTTAATTGCACTCTTACTCTATCAATGTTTAGGGACAGCTTTGAACTAAAACAAATTCCTATTCTCTCTTCTTTCCCTATACCTAAAATAATTTACATACAGTTGAAGAATCTAAGTGTCAGACAGTGTAGCAGTTCTCTACCAAAAATGGAACAATTTCAAAGATACGAATGTGGTCTTAATACATATTTCTTCGGCTTGAAAAGCAAGGGTCAGAGAAAGAAATCTTCCCCTTCCATCTCTTCCATCTGCTAATCTCTGAACCACGATGCCTTCTCTTGTGCATGCCTTTGCAAATGCTGTTTTCCTGAGCATAGCTAGAATCGCTTCCTCAAATCTGACTGTGGCAAATTTCTACTCACTGTAGAAGTCTCAACTGGTTTTCCCAGAAAAGCTTCCTGCAATCCTTCCCCTTATGTGCCTTTTACATACTTCCATTAAGCACTTCTCAAAGCAGGTTACACAGCTCTGTCTCTTACAATCAGAGAACTAAACACCTCTTGGCAGAGCTAACGTTCAGCTGGTACATACCAGCACAGCCTTAAGGATTATACAGAAGTACTGAAGTACTTCTGTAATATAGTCTGGTAAACAGTAATCACTCCAAACTCCAGCAATGCTAAGGTGCCGCCTGATGGTACGACCACCACCATTCAGCAACAAAAGCAGCAAAGCCTGATCCAGTCTGAAGGATGGAGGGGTCCTTCAAAGCCTTGTCCAGTGCTATGGCCATTTTGATTGGTTGGTACCCGTGTTGTAGTGACTGGTAAATAATCTGAATTTCATCCCTGCTCCTTTGTACTCAAAGCCAAAAACACTGCCTAGAAAATAGTACATCTTTAATGAACTCTTCCTTCTTTGTCAAAATAATGAATTAATACCAGGCCTATTCAATGACTCAAGGCCAATGGACATGCTGTCAAAGCTATGCAGGCACTGATCAGATTAGCAACAAAAATCCAGGTTCTTAAGTACAAGACAGAAAAGTGCTCAAGTCTACCTATTTGGTATGTTCGCTATCAGCCTCTGATAAAAGTAAATGCTTGATTTAGTAATGTGGGCAAAAATCTTCAGTGATAATTTATAGAGCATATGATTCAAGTATTTTTAATGTTATTCAACAAAGTTTAAAAACAAAGTTCCTATAAAACCAAAGAATCTACAAGAATGACACAAACAGGGCTGGCGAGTGGCATGTTGGTTAGGAGTTGGCTTGGAACACCAGCTCTGAGCAGCAAGGCCCAGGTTCGGATCCCACATGAGGGCCAGTGACGCTATGCCCTCTACAGCTAAAATGGTGAACAACAGCTCAAACTGGAGCTGGGCTGCTGTGAGTCGCCGGCAACAGCATAGGCTGCATGCAACACCTGCTGCAGTGGGTTGCCATGGGCTACCGTGTGTAGCCAGCAGCCAGTGTGAGCAGCCAGCAGCCGCCGTGAGTGGCAGCCCAGAAGCCGGCGACTGATCTGCCTTGCCCAGGAAGAGCGCAATGATGGTGCCAACTTGGGCCAGTGAAGCAACGTCCTCCACAACTAGAATGAAGAACAAAAGGACAGCAACTTGTCTGTTTCCCTTCCCCGATTCCCCAATGCTGTTCCCCTCCCCCAATTCCCCAATAAAATCTTCAAAAAAAAATTTCACAAACACTGGTTTCCAGTCAAGATGGCAGAGTGGGTAAAAGCTCACATCCTCCCACAAACACATCAAAATTACAACCAAAGGGCCGGCCGAGTGGCACATTGGTTAAGAGCTGGCTTGGGACACCAGAGGGCCCCGGTTCGGATCCCACATATGAGAGCCAGTCACACTGCCCTCTACAGCTAAGTTGCTGAACAACAGCTCAAACTGGAGCTGGGCTGCTGTGAGTCGCCGGCAACAGCATAGGCTGCATGCAACACCTGCTGCAGTGGGTTGCCATGGGCTACCGTGTGTAGCCAGCAGCCAGTGTGAGCAGCCAGCAGCCGCCGTGAGTGGCAGCCCAGAAGCCGGCGACTGATCTGCCTCGCCCAGGAAGAGCGCAATGATGGTGCCAACTTGGGCCAGTGAAGCAACGTCCTCCACAACTAGAATGAAGAACAAAAGGACAGCAATTTGTCTGTTCCCCTTCCCCCAATTCCCCAATAAAAATCTTAAAAAAAAAAATTACAACAAAAGTACAAAATATCACTGAAAACTGCCTGAAGTCTAGCTGAACAGAAGCCTTTCAACTATGGACATACAGAAAAAGCCACCTCAAGACTGGTAGGAGGGGCTGAGATGTAGAACAGGCTGGTTCCACACCAACATGTGGCACTTAAAAATCGGTAGTTATCTCAGCTGTGGAGGTTCCCCCTGGAGGAGCGAGGGTTCCCAGCCCCATCCAAGCTCTCCAGTCCAGGGTTCCAGTGCTAGGAAGAGAAGTTCCCACAACCTCTGGCTGTGAAAACCAGAGGAAACTGTGGCTAAGCAAGATGGATGGCGGATGCAGTCCCAGGTGCTCCTCTTAAAGGGACTGTGCCAGACTTACTCGTTGACAGATTCATACACTCTGAGCTCCAGCACTGGGACAGCAGCTCAAAAGGCACCAGGGACATAAAGGAAGGACATAAATTGGCTTTAGGGCAAGGGCTGGATGGGCAGCTTTCTTCCAGACAGAAGTGCTGAGAGAAGCCATTGTTCCTTTGTTGCACCTTCCCCACCGCCCCTTCCCCTCGCTCCCACCCCAGGCAAGCCTGCACTCCCAGGCAGGCACCATATCTGAGTCTCCATTAACCTAGGTAACACCGTTACCCTGCCCCAGTGACTCACTGAGACCCCTCCCCACCCAACTTGTGGGCCCACCCAAGCTGGTTCCAGTGGCTTTTCCAGAAAAACGGCCTGTCTTGGCTCATGCTGCAGACTTTCTTTAAATCTCTTAAAGGTTCACAAACCCCAAACAAGCAGCATCTGGCCTCAGTGTGCCCCAACCTCTTAAGCGGCCCCAAGCTTGGTACTAGCAGCAGCCAGCCTCAGTTAACAGCTTAGTCTCTCCCAGGTACCTCCAAGCTCAACACAACTGGCAATCATCTGCAGATCACTTTATAGCTCATGCCAAGTAGCCTCGGGCTGGGCATAAACAGAGGTTGATGTTGCCTTGCATCAGAGACCCTCCCAAGAGGCCCCAAAACCGAAACACCTGGTGGCCAGCTTCAGACCACACCACAGCACCACCCAACCATCTCCACAAGTGACACACCCAAAGGGCAAACTGGGCAGGCACCAGAGCCCCGCTAAAGTAAATCCTGCTCCATAGCATCAGTTCCTACATGACAGCTCCTCCACTGTAATCATGACCAGTCCTCAAAACAAATCTGCCTGAGGGTCAACCCCACACACTGACGTGCCAACAGTAACCAAGGCTCGACCACAACAGGAGAGCACAAACAACTCACACAAGGGACTCACCCACCCAACTCAGGTGACCAGGGACATTGTGCCATTGGGCACCACAACACACATACTACATTAGGCGACCATGCAAGACTAGAAGACATAGCAGCCCTACCTAATACATAGAAACAAACACAGAGAGGTGGCCGAAATGAGGAAACAAAGAAAGATGTCTCAAATAAAAGAACAGAACAAAGCTCTGGAAAAAGAACTAAACAAAATGGAGATAAGCAATCTACTAGAGGCAGAGTCCAAAACACTGGTTATAAGAATGTTCAGTGATCTCAGGAAGAACTTCAACAAAGAGATACAAAACATAAAAATGGAGATAAGAAAACATTTAAAAGAACCAGTTAGAAATAAAGAAT